CACAAAACATTTTGTGGAAGTGAAAGCCACAAGATTACCTCTGTCACATAGTTTGTGACACACTTATCAGGCTATATTTTAAGCATCTATCAAATAGACATTCTCAATGGAATGAGAGTCTGTCGTTTCCTACCTTTCCAACACCAATGATCTCACCTTTCTTTCTATTCTCAAAGGAGACATTACCTCCTTTTAGGTTCTTCAAGTGCAAGGAACTGGTTCTTGTTACCAAGTCATATGTTTTGAGCAACCACTATCCATGTACCATATTTGGCTACTTCCCTTCACTTGGTCCTGCAAAATGAAAATCATGGGTAAGTCTTAGGAACCCACAAACTAGTTTGGGTCCCTCTATGGGCAAAAGGATGAATTAATTTTTCTTTGTCCACCAGCATTTCGTGCTTTGCTCTTAGCAACAAGGCTTTGTTTCTTTTGACTGGGCCTTTTCTCTTGCATTACATTTCATTTTTGTAATGGCCAGAGTATACAACCAGTGTGTGCAGATCTTATTCTCAGGAAGTGTGAGATACTTGTTTTTTGGGATCCCATTTTGGAGCTTGTGTCCCAAATCCAAGTCCTCTCTTGTTGCTACTTAGATGTTCTTGCAGCCAGGAGAGTGCATCGGAAGCCTTGTTCCATTTGCATGTTTGTCTAGTTCATGCTTTACCTTTTCCTAAATCTTCTTTTAGGACCTTAATCATTCATTTTCTTGTACAGTTCATCTTTCATTTTTCCTAGATTTCTTCTAGGGTGAGAAATGATTGATCAGCCCTTTCTTTCTGCCCTAATTTCAGTTTAATATTTTCAGATCTAAGTTCTTAGCATATCTTATTTTCAAGTTGATGAACCTGGTTCTTCAACTCAGTATTGGTGTTATCACTCTCATAGCCCTAGACTCTAAAACCTTTACATTTTTCTTCTAGGATAAAACATTCCTTAGACCAGAACATCCTTTTCCTGTTTATTATTTCAGACTCATCTATGAAATCCCATCAGCAGATCAGCCAGTTTTTCCTTAGACAGGAACTAATTTTTTCTTTAAGGTGTAGAATACTTACCTCCTGTTCATCTTCTATAATTCTCCGATGGCATTAGAGCTTGATTCTCCTCAGCTTATCTTCAGAGTCCTCATCTGATGTTTCTCCCCAAGCAGCAACCATAACCTATGTTGAACCTTTATTTCTTTTTGGTTGAACCTGTCCTTCTTCCTGTTTCTTCTTTCAGTCTTTCTTTCTTCCATTCAACTCCCATGAGGCAGTTTGTATGTGGTGATCAGTCTTCCCACACCTTGTAACACCCCTCATTGGTTTGTTTTCAAGAGCCCTCGGTTTGCTGAATGTTGTTCCTTTTGAAGCACCCTTTCCTCTCATAAGATATTTCTTGAAATCTCTGTTATCATAGCCATTTCATCATCTTCAAGATCTTATCCTTCTGAAATTCTGAGAGCCAAACTTCTTTCTTTCTTTAGCATATCTTCTTTCCTCTGCCACCC